AGCACCGATATGGTTTAGTGTTTGTTTAATTACTAAAATCAGCTAACCACTTGTCGCGCCAAACATCTGTTAATATCTTCACCCGTTTTTTAAGTCAAAGTTTCGCAAATCCATGTTCTACTCGTTCCAAATATTCGATCATTGAAAATAGTTTATAGTTCATTTTAGCGCAGTTTGAGAACCTTGATCACACACACAAACCACAAAAAATGTACCTTTCTTGCAAAGGTAACAATAAAAACACACGTCTTGTAAGTTTCTGACAATCTAAAGATGTTTAGAGATAACCAAACTATTCTCCTGCGCGATTTAACATTATTTCTGAATCGCAGTATAAATTTGCTAAATCGCAGTATAATTTTGGCTAAGGTACACGCGCTTTGCAGAAACCCATTATATACAGCGTTTCAGAACTCTAAAGTCTAAACCAAATCGGTGCTCTGAATCGCAGTACATAATGTATTATCAATTTGCGCATAACATGAAGCCATAGTATACTGCGAATCAGACCAGAGCTGCTCTGAATAATAGTACAGAATGCCAATACGCTTCCCGACCCTAGGAACTTTGGATTTCAAGAATGTAACGGTCACCTCCTACTTGCCCAATTTGAAAGACGTTTCCCGGAATCAGTGACATTAAACTGCACCTGCATAACCATAAAGTGTTCAACTCGTAATTGTTCTTGCAGGAAATCCGATGTTCCATACTGTGGGTTTTGTAAATGTAGAAGTAAAAAAACTATGGACTGCAAAAATCCATTCAAAAGCAGAACGTAGAAGAGGAAAACAATTTTTATCTACTAGTTACACTTTGTTTATTGTAGTAATAAAAGAGAAAACTGAACTTTTTTGTAACACCATCTACTTTCCGATCACGTATCTCTGAAATCATGCGTGATATCAAATTTTGAGTAATAAAGGAATTTATTCATTTTTTAATGGCCAACATTTTTGATAATAATAATAATGCTAGGACCACACCTTGCCGAAATAAAGTCGATTTACGTAAACATTTATAATTTTTGTGTACGACGTCATTGTGCCACTGAGTGCAAGTCATGATAGACTGTCACCTAAGTTTTTCGTAAAGCTTGACCCATATGGATGTGGATGGAGAAAGGTGATTTTCCGTATGTGTACCTAACTTTGTATAGAAGTGTACCCAACCCAGCAACTCGATTATAATGGGCACTTTAATAAAATTGTATAGCTAGTAGGTAACCTCAAGAAGTCTCACAAGTGGGAAACATGTTTTGTTTATATAACATTATCCAAAGAATAGGTTGCTAAATACCACATTTATGCATTAAATGTAAATGTTGACTTAAATCAAAGTTCCATACTCGTATAATTATACTGTTGCGTAATATTGTGTACAGCGAATAAAATAAAATACAATTGTTTTCGTACTCGACCTGCGAATGTGCGAAACTCGGAACATCTGCAACACTTACCTACAATAAGCCACCTTTCAGATTTGGGTTGTACATAAATTATGCAAATCGACGCTTGATACCTTTACCTACCCATTGTTCTTTTCATACTCGGATCATGAATAGAATATTTATATGTGTAATTATGCACAAATGGGAAGTTAATAGGAAGGTGGTAACAGTTTGCGCCACAATATGGTTCTCGTGAAATCGTAAAGTTTAGAACTAAGTTTTCTGTAGGAGAATGATTAAATGTGAGAAAGATTTTTTTGAAATTCATACCTAAATATGCCAGGTAGGTATTGTGTTGTGTAGTTATTTCGAGAGTTATTTGTTGTATACATGTGGAAGTACCTCGTTTTATACACATACAGTGAGTTTTTTTTAAATACGAACATAGGAGTTTGCATGCAATGTAATTTCCCTATGTTCGATTTTAAAAAAAACACATTAATCTATGAGGTGTGCGCGGTTCACATTCCCAAAATATTATGTATCAAAAATCTCTAAAAAAAAAAAAAAAAAAAAAAAAAAAATCACATTCCCAAATCGCGCAACTTGTGTGACTATGAACAGCAACTCTATAACCTTTATGATGAAGAGCACTCGGTAAGATTTTTTTAAAGAAGTCACGTGAGCCCATAGCAACTTTAGGATACATTTTTCATAAACTTACGATAACTTGACCTCACAGGCCACGCACTGACACCACAACTCATTGTGAACCATGTGCACCTGGTATTCTACTAATTTGATTTATACATAAATGAAAAAAATAAGAAAATAAATAACGAAAACAATTACAATAAATGTTCAAAGTGTCCTCCTTGACATTCTAAGCAATAACCTAACCGATTTCGTAATTAAATTGGACGGCGGTATTTTTAAAAATGTGTCAGCTGTCAATTGTATCTACTACTCATTTGAACTACTCAATAGATTGATGTGTTTTTTTTAAATCGAACATAGGAAAATTACATTGCATACAAACTCCTATGTTCGCATTTAAAAAAAATTCACTGTATAAATGAATACGCCTTTATCGTCGCGAAGTGAAGCTGCAAGTGCTGCAACTGTTTCAACTTCACTTATCTTAGAAGAAAAGATTCCGGCCACACAGTATAAACTACTACTACTGATTATTCCTTACTATCTTCTTTACAGCTGTTAAAACTTCACTATAATAGACTATATTGTTTGGGAACCACTCAAAGTGTAAAGTTTTGGTGCCGCTTTGAGTTCGAGGATGCCCGACGATCAATGTTCTGGACTACTTAAAGTTTAACGGTTTTATATATACGTCTTTTTTTAACTGTTGACTGTTCAACTGTAGTTATCAAAAATTACGCATTTTTGGAACAGTTTTTAAAGCTACAGGCAATCTCAACTGTAGTTAGTTTGATAGAAAAATACAAACTGAATACCTATAGTTGTTTAAACTGGTATGTTAAATGGTCCACTATAGTACTGTTTATCGTTTCACTTTTTCTCACATTTAGCACAATTAGTCTCAAATTTATTTTTTTAACGTGATGGAGGGGGTTATGGGGCATTGTCTACCAAAACGCTATATAATTTCGTTTGCGTTTTAAATTAGCGTATTTAATTATTTGTTTAGAATAGGTACTTAAATCAAAAAGGTAAATTGTATTGTTATCTCACATTTATTATTTATGTCACAAAATATTTGCTTTAATTAGTCGTGGATTTTTTCTTGAAGTAGTCCTTGGAAAAATGTTATTTGTTTGCTGTATTACTATAGTAAGAAAGCTACCCCCAATGAGCAGCCGTCTTTGCTGTAGTAAAAAGAAGGTAGTATAATAGTAAGAAGGAGGTATAATCTCGGAATGAGAGATAATAAGCTATAAACTGGTATAAACGTTTATTTTGGCATTCTGAAAGTTGTCTCAAAAGTTTCATAAAATCTCGTGTCCGCGTCTTAAGATAATTAAGGTCAAAGGTCACAAAATAGCTATTTATATATCAAGTACATAAACTGGGTCTTTATGGACGAGCCGTTTATTTAGCCGAGCGAGCTTGCGAGCGAGGCACAAATAAACAAGGCGAATCCCCATAAAGCCTATTTATGGACGCGATATATACAAAGCTTTATGAACGACTGCAACAACCCTTAAAAATGAAAATTTCATGGAATTCAATAAATGATCAAATCTATATACATATCATTGACAACAGATGTCAAGCATTTGTCAAATATTTCTAAAATACTTGAATTTACCTTGGATTGACACCTAAGTACGACTGTCACATTGACAGGCGGCCGTCTTACTTTATCATTATGGACTAGGCCATAATATTGCAAATTATGGCCACTAATTGCGACTGTAATCACCGCATAAATGAGTTTTTTTTTACAAATATCTAGTTTACTATGGTTATAATGCCATTTGCGTTTATTACAAAAATTGTAGAAAATAAAATTCTCCACAACTTTTTCTTCTTTCATCTGTTGTCAATGATATATAGATGGCCTTGTTTATTTGTTCCTCGCTCGCAAGCTCGCTCGGCTAAATAAACGACTCGTCCATAAAGACCCATTTTATGTACTTGATATATAAATAGCTATTATATAAGTATTCAACCGTTTTTGAGATAGAGGGCGCAGAGCGCGGCGTGCTTCCCAATTTACAGCATAATGCAAGGTCAACAAATTCTGTGGCAAAAAGGTAAAAGGGGATAACTCAAAAACAACAACTTACCAGGAGATAAATATGTTTAATTCAATTAATTTAATTTAAACTGAAATCCAACATCAAAATCGTGTATAAACTAAACGGTATGTAGAGTGTCAATTTGGTACACTCTAGAATTTTTGTTCATTCTTAACACGAATTAACTTTTACTGTTTTTACAGAACACCAACGCGCTTGTGACTTCGTAAAAGGGTATAAGTGTGCATATAAACCGTAATAATCCACCAAATTGTAATGAAGTATTTTGGTCAAAAGGATATGTCTACTTATTCTGTTTTAACTAACTGACATGCTTTTTTGGTGTGGGGTCATGTGAACTTTTATCATTCAGCTTAAGCAAGTTCTATTATTTTCATAATACTTGTGATATGACCAGGGAATATGTCTGCTTATTAGTTATTACCAATGAGTATGGTGATTATTTATGGCGATATACTTATGCCGTTTTGTCTGTACGTCAAGTAATGCATTATAAATGCTTTAATATCATTAAACTTGTTTATAAGTCTACATATACCGTTTTACCTTTTTGCCACAGCTATTGATGGACACAATAGCCAACGCTATCAGGAAATTATTATTATTATTATCTTAGCTTTTTCTCGCTTTATGCGGTTGACCTACAGATGACGGGTAATTACCAAGTCAAAAGTAGAGTATATCTATTGCTGTAGAAATCTTCGAGTTATGGATGCCGTTTTCAGAAGGACTGGTTTTTGTATCTTTGTGTGTAAGTATGGGTGAATGTCAAGTTTTGATGTTGCAAAAAGTTTTTACTAGTAACTCCTGTGACTGAGATGATGAGTGGAACTATTGTTCCCTTATGCTGTTGTCAGAGTTCTTTTACTTCTATGGCCAATGGTAAGTACTTTGTAATCTTTTCCTGCTCCTTTGTTATTACATTGGTGTCGTTTGGTATTGCAACATCTATGATAAATGTTTCTTGGTGTACTTTGTTTATCAGTGTGATGTCTGGTCGATTCCTAGTCACTGTTCTGTCCGTATGTACTGTCCTGTCCCAGTAGAGTTTGTGTGTTTTGTTTTGAAGTACATTTTGTGGTGTGTATCTGTAATAGGGCATTTCTGTTTCAATGAGTTTGTGTTTGTATGCTAGTTCTTGATGTATTATTTTGGCAGCCGTGTTGTGTCTTTCGGTGTATTCTGTACCCACTAATAGTTTACATCCCCCCGTGATGTGTTCTATGGTTTCCCGTTCAATGTTTCCTAGGAAACCATAGAGCTGAAAATTACGACGAGCTGACAGGATTTGGTTTTGTATCATCGGGTATAGAATGTCTCTAAAGATGCACAGGTTACATTTTCATTTAGATAACTTTAAGGATAGGAGCTTATTCGGTAGAACAAGGGGAACACTAAAGTCACTAGATATAGAAAGTACCGCAATCATCCGTCATTTTTGGGCAAATTTGCTGCCAACTTAAAAAAATTGACAAATAAAATCTGAATAGCTGTCATTTTTTATAACCTAACTTCATAGTACTGTCGTCATGTTTTATAAAAATATATACAGATATCTCCAAACAGGTGGAACAATCCCTAACATTAAAGGGGATTTACGATAATTCAACCGTTTTAACCGGATTGGTAGAAATCACCATAGAAACAATTGTGGCAATAATTGTAACCATAGCAAAATCTACCAACTCGCTTTAACCGGTTGAATTATCGTAAATCCCCATAGTTACTAGAATCTGGTAACTTCCACCATTTTTGGGCAAAAATCATGCGTTCTCTCTCTAACACACAAGCCCAATGGATTGCGGTACTTTCTATATTTAGTGACTTTAGGGAACACTTTCATCAAGACATAATGGAATTTGGGCACGTTACCAAGGCCCGCTGGAAGCATGATGGAAGACCATATTTGGGCGGTTAATAAAAAAAACTAATTATGTTTGCTATATTGGTATTTGTTGTTAGGTTGGTCGTCTGATCGTTCGTAATGTTACAATTCCTTCGTTCGTTTTCAAAAGCATTGCACTCGGTTATTAGGTGATTTATTGATATGGGGACTTGGCATTGTTCACACATTTTTGGTGGCTCTTTCCTCATTAGGTGGCCGTGGGTAACTCGGGTATGTCCAATTCTCAGCCTTGTGATGTCCACCTGGTCTTTTCTTCGTGTCAATTTATAGTAACCGCCATCGAAGAATGTAGTGTCTCTAATTGATCGTAGTTTGTTCGTCAGTGGGTCGATAGCTTTCCATTGGATTTCCCATTTTTGTCTAAGGTTTTTGTGGATACTTTTTTTGAGGTCGTAGGTTGTGAGCACTTTTTCGTCGATATTTGGATTTTCAGTCGCTTCTTTGGCTAACTTATCTGCGGCTTCGTTTCCTGCGATACCTATGTGTGATGGGATCCAGATGTAGTCCACAGTCTTGCCGTTGTTGTGTACATCCTCATTTAAGTCGGAGATTTGTTTAATTAGGGGGTTTGGCGATAAAAAGTTTTTTATGGACTTCAGTACACTTGTCCAGTCGAAGAGAATCACATACTGTTTATTTTCACTTTGTTTTATTTACTTTAGGGCTTTTATTATAGCTACCGCTTCGGCTGTGTAATTTGATGTGTCTTCCGCTAGGCGGTACATTTCATTATAGTCTTTGTGAACCCAAATTTTAAATAATTTTCATCAATACGTATAGGTACCACAAAACTAGGTAGGTAAACAAAAGAAAGATACAAGGAATTTTACGGGTTGTTTACTCTTTACTTTTACCATACTCCTTGAAATGACGTGACTAATATGACATTGCAAAGTTGCACAATAGGTCGAATCGCCAGTTGCAAAAAAGATTTAAAACCCGTGATATAACTGTGAGATTCAGGAAAGCACATATGCTTGTATTTAAACTTCCGTGTATTGTTATTGTTGATTGTTACCGCATTTTTTTTGCAATCGCAGAAGGGTAATTATAAATTTCGGTTAGACATAGCATCATATGTTGTTTCCAAATTTGTTAATTTATATTTCTTTTTTTGCAGATGCAGATTTATTTCTCCAAGGCAATTCCGGTTCGCAGTATTTATATTTGGAAACGATTATTGAAGAAACATCCGATGATCTGCAAAGTGATAAATCGGAATCATGTCCCTCCCCAGTTGGGTGGCTGGCAACGGACTCCGAATCGGGATCTGTCATACGGATTGGGAATTTGGGTAGGTAATTAGATGTGATGGAAGTAGGTCGATACTCGATTTTATAAGAAACCGTTACGGTGTTTAGTTGTCGCTTATTTAAGCATTCATCTTTTACAAATCGTTAATTGTATCGATTGCCTATTAGGGTATTCATGAAAGCGTAGAATTGTTCGTTTGATGTTTACTCAGTCACTTTCGTGGTTGTGTGACGTGTACTGCACTTTTAGTGTTAAATTACTCTTCTATCTGGTATACATAACAGTATTTTGATGTTCGTGTTAGAGCAATTATGCAGGCCATTAAGTTAGTTTATTGGAGAAAATTTCCCCCCTTCGGCCGTATAACATTTTTTATGTGTTACAAAACATTTGCATCGATAATTGGTAATGAAATAAACGTTAAACGATTTTATTTAAACAGTAGTCACTTCACTACAAACTTACAATAGTATATTAAGATACAAGTGTATAATCAAGTCTTTAAAGCACGCGCAACGAGTTTAAGGGCACGACGCAAAGCGGAGTGCCTTTAACGTTGCAAGTGTTTTAAAGACCAATTATACACGTGTATCTTATAGTATTTTTTATTATACCTGCAGTATAATTTAAAAATAGGAAATACAATGAAGTCATTTTGACGTTATACTCGAATACATGTCTAATTAAGTGGGCTGTTCGTAATTTCACGATTGCCATGGAAATGTCACTTGACGTTTGCTTATAAAAATCATCGCTTTGTGAATTAAACGATTTCCGTTGTTGAAAAAGATAATACACCGTCCATTAAATCGATTGTTGTAAAATCTAAACAAACGTTGGTAGGTGTAAAATCCAACTCCAGTAAAGCCTATTATAAAGAATATGAAAAGTTGTTTCCATGGATGAATAGGAAGTTACTTACGAATACATTCTTAAATACATCCATAATGCTGGCATATATGTAGGAAATGTCAAAGGTATTTAAATCTCCTATATTTTGGTGCATTCATTCAAAACTTTAAAGCAATGCTGCGATTAAAAAGTTGAACAGATTTGGAAGCATACCATAAATTACGCGCGTTTGTGAAAGCTTCAACCAAAGGATAGGTACAAAAGCCAAAGAAATGTTCTGCATTTACAGAAAGCGACCTAAGAGGTTTTTTATTTCATCCAGATGACAGTTTCAAATGTCATACTTGAAGTATCGTTACTTAGCAACTTTAAAGCACGTGTGTTTTAAAGGCCCTTTTTCGCACGCATTTGAGTGTTTAAAACGGAGATTGTGATTCAGGTATAATAAAAAAATGATTAATCTTAATAACATGATCTAGTATTTAATTTATTATTATTTATGCTGGCACTACTATAATTTATGTTAAACTCTGCATTTATATAATTCTTATGCGGGTTAATTTATGTGTGATATACACTTCCGGCTGTATCCTCCATGACGGCCTATGACAATATAAAGTGAATCAAAAATCTATCGACTCCAATGAAAATACTAATTATTTATTAGTGTTGCCGCGACTCGCGAGACGAGAGCAAGTCAAAGTCTCGTCTCGACCTGGTTCAGTTTCGTCTCGTCTCGTCTCGTCTGGTATCGTTTGGGCTCGCTTGGACTCCACATACTATCCAAAAACAGTCCTTATAAAAAGCACCAACAAGGCATTACAAGTACCTGCTAAGATTTAAATCATGAAACACAATTTCTCTATTACTTACGCGTATTTTAAGGATTTTTTTAACATTCGCATCTCTGGCTGTGCGGCTAAAAAATATTAGCTTTCATAAAATGTGACTGGTAATATAATATACATAACATAACTATGAAAGACACACTGAATTCTTTGTTATAGGTACTTAACTACTTAAAGACAATCTGACCAAGTTACTTTGTAAAATCTTACTTTTATGGTAAATGCGGTAAATATGTACTTACTCGTATACCTACAAACGATTGGATTTATTGGCATGAACATGAAGACAGTAAGAGCATTAAGTACTTTTAATATAAAGAAATCCGCCAAAACTTATTAAACCCAATTCTTGTTTGTTCAGTATAGACAATTACAATTATATGAGAAAGCTCTATTGATGAGACACAGGTTTAATAATCATCTGTCTGTCAATAAAATAAGATAAAGCTTTCGAATGCTTCCTGGATTTAAGAAAAGTTACTGCTATTGTATTCCCTATTATATAGTAATTAAGTCATAAATCAGTAAGGTCGGTGGTAAGTAAACAATTGGTATCCGTGCTACTTGAATGGATTTTCGTGATTAAAATTTAGGAAAACCCGTACAAATAAATACAAAAAAAATCTTCGAGAATTCGTAATAAACAATCGATTTTAATAAGCAATTTACCTAGGTAGGTATTTTAGTCGATACATGGTATTTTTTAATACTTATCAATATCATATATAATATCGACATAAAGCGTTAATTTTTAGTGCACTTTCACTTGCAAAACTTTTGTTTGTTTAGGTGATGGGCTTACGAAAAAATGTGTTCTTAACTACTGCATTCCTTAAAAAAGTTGGCACTGCGCATGCGCAAAACCAAATTTTGAAACTGGTATTAGATTTTCCTTTGTTCCAAGCGCCTATGTATCAAATTTCATTTACATACTTTTATAAATAAAAAAGTTTGCAATTCGGTTTATAAATGGTCGGGGCACTGTGAATTTTGAATCGATTCGATTCAACTTTTGGCATTGTGTATTATATGGCTAACTCTATGCCCATATTGAATTTCATGCAATTCAGTTCATAACTAACGGAGATGTAAAAGCGATCGGACATTTCTAAACAAAGTAATCGTTCACACGGACAGATAGATGGGCAGACTAACAAAGGAACAGACGGACAGACCAACAGACAGCAATACAAAATTATAAACGATCTCTAGGATCGTTAATAAACGACAAAAGTGTAAAATTAAGAAACATGTAAAAAACGGTTTTTTTAGTTTTTTTCTCAATCGACGCTATTGAAATATTATTACGCCCATGTACAGAGCCACCCAGGGAAGCACTTCATCTATGCAGTTATTATCTGGGGAAACTCGTGCGCTTCAAGACGCATTCTTGTGTTGCAAAAAAGCATTATCCGCAGAATGTGCCGCGCTGGAGCCTATGACCACTGCCTAATTCTCTTCAAGCAACTGAAGATATTAACGATTTATTCACTATACATATACAAGTACGTTGTATATGTATATGAAAATAAATTACAATTGACTGCCAACAAAGACGACAATCGTAGCATGCTAACACGCCATGCCACTTCACTTTATGAACGATCATCAAGATATATGGCTACAAAACTTTTCAACCATCTTCCACCACATATCCGCAATTGCGCCTCCTCGAGGGAGTTCAAGAAAATGACCCATAACCTGTTCGTCGGTCACCCTTACTACAGTGTTGGAGAGTATTTGAATCAAAAACTGCGATAATCTTATTTTAATGTTTGTTTTTTACTGTACTGATCTGTCATCCTGTCTTTTTACACTTGTATGTTCTTTCCATCACTTTGACAATCCAACATTACTTAATGTAATTGTAATGGAATTAAAGAAAGAAAGAAGTCTAAAGACGAGAGACTGTAACTTTGTCATATTAGCTTCTACTTGTTGACCTTTATAAATATCGATGTTGCAAGTATATTCTCTGTGGTGCAAAGTTCGTAGAATGTTATTCCATACTTAGCTTTTTGCCTTTAATATACTGCTTGAAACGCACCCTTCCTTTATGTAGTAGGTAATAGTCACTCATCTAGAGACAAAGCCCCTTCGGGAGAGTAAACCCTTTGATAGTTACGAAGCAACAACTTCAGTAATTCGCTAATTTTATTGAGCCTATCGCTATTGTCTTTTTCATTTGTGCAATTAAAACATCTAAGAAGCTGTTCATATTGGCGGCGTCCCGACATGGCATGGGAAAACACGGGATGGTAGTATAATGGATCGTATGAGAACATTTTTCGCAAAACTGGAAATCGAATCTGCCCCTGCAGGATGGAAATTCGAATAAATTTTTATTTAAAGTTCTTCTTTCGTTATGTGAGCAAAGCTGGATATTCTTGAATGTTTGGGTTTGGGACAGTTTGAAGTCAACAGCTTCTTTCTATACGTATTGGTACAATTATTGACAAGGAGATCCATTACTTCATCAGTCCAAAGAGACATGAAAACTTCTAAAGGTAAGCGTAATCAAAATGGAAGTGCGGTATATATCGTCGTATGTATCTTCCCAATCGTCGCTCTCATCAGAAATGGAACCTAGTGGATCGATTAGAATTTCGTTTATAGGTGGCGGAGTTGGATTGAAATTAGAATTATCAGAGGAATCATCAGAACTACCATTTGAAGGTGAATAATCTTGATCTTTATCATCATATGGGTCCTCTTCGCTGTTACTGTTGCTTTCATTTCCCACACTTTCTTCTTTTGTCTCAGCTTCAACTTCTTCAAAAAGCGTTAGTAACCTCCTTCCTCTTTAGGATCCGTTTTACTCACAAATTGTTTTAAACCAAACGTTTCTAAATATTGTGCGGATTATATTGAAATGAGTATTGAAAGAACTAAAAAATTAAAGTATTTTCAGTCTAAGTCACTTATAAAAACAGGTGGAATTACTGCCAAGCCCACTAAACAACTTCACTGTGTAAACGGTTTGTAGCAAATGGCTGCTTTTGCAGACGTGACGCACTACGCAGGAGTCTGAGCGGAGTTAGTGGCAGTGAATTCAAGGTCAAAATAGATGTCTTGATGGGACACTTCCCTGTCAACAAAATATATCTTCGGCATAGGGGCCTTGTAGCAATTCCAATGCATGCTACCGAATTCTTTAAGAAATCGTTTTCTTATAATGTTGCAAACATCTTTAATAAATTGTCACCAACTTTACGAAGTTTAAGTATGACTACGTTTAAAAGACAAGTAAAGTTCCTTTTGTTAGATGATCAACTCTCTATTGTGGCTTTTAAGGGGCTTCTGTATTGAACATAAATTTTTGGTTTAGGAAGTTCTGAGG